ATCATCATCATCATCATCATCATCATCATCATCATCATCATCATCATTATCATCATCATCATCATCATCATTATTATCATCATCATCATTATCATCATCAACATTATTCTCATCAACATTATTATCATCATCAATTCATCATCAATCACAAATATAATTCTTTTAATATATATTTATAACATAGTATTACATTATCATATATATATAAGATATTATTTGAATAATATATTTTTAAATACATAAAATTTATATTTTTGTTTAAAACAAAAACTATAATATTAAAACATACAATTTTTTAAATTACATATCTAATAATTAATTTAATATAATAATACTCAATAAGTGTAATAATTTAAATGAGAGTAATTGAAATTATATTAATACTATCTATACAATAATTAAATTAATGCAATAATTATAATATATAATTATTTTTGTTAATAATAATATTTTGTATTAATAATAAAAAATAACTGTAATTTAAATTAAAATAATTAGATTTGTATTAATATTAATTATATTGTATTAATGGATAATAATAGTAATAACTAAAAATCTTTTAAATTAAGCTCTGTTCCTACTTCAAATACCTGAAACAAAGAAATTTTATCATATTAATATTTTTGATTAAACGAATAATAAGATTATTAAAATTATACTTATTGTGTGTGTTTACTGTTTATATATATAATTAGACTCTTGAAAATGTCAAAATAAAGATGTCACAGCAAATGCGAATAAAGCACGGTACGTGGAACACGCTCCTCTGTCCACGCATGTATGTACTTTGTAAGTTGTAAAGTTGAAGATGGCTCAAAGGAAGAGTTGAAACGTTCAACATATTTGAAGCATCGAATCAATTATTTATTTTGCACATCACGTACAGCACTTGACTCACATTTGCCGTAACATTTTTATTTTTACTGTTTATTATTGTTATGTATACGCGCGCATACATACACACACATGTACGCATATACAAATGCGGACGGTAACGTATACACATATGTACACACGCGTATACATATATTATACATACATGTACATGTACGTACGTATACATATACATATATATACTTTCTTACACGTACGCATGCAAATATGCATATATATATATATAATAAATACCTGTAAGTTCAATCCTAAGATATCATGAACTAATCACAGAGTCGTATTAGCGTCTAGGACATTATTCAAGATGGTCTTGAAATAAGATCCGACTCTGAATACCGGCCTTAGACGTCTTAACAATGTCTTTAAAACGTCTTATATCCAGATTTTGGATACGGTGTTGTCTAGGATACATATATAAATTGAGAAGATAAATATAGATATATATATATTTGTATAAATACTTTATATGTAAATAAGAATGTATTTTATAGAAAAGTAAGCTTGAAACTTACCAGTATCTTATATTCACACACAAAGGTTTTTTGCATACGTAAATATTATTATTATTGTTACAAAATGTCTAAATAACAGCTGCAATGACAGTTGCTCTCGAAGTAATTGCCACGTCAACGAAAGAGTTAAATATGAACTATCTTCAGTACTTAAGATGGTCTTAAATATAAAATCCAACTATGAATACCGACCTATGAATACGGGTCTTTGGGCACATTCAAGGGAAAAGCTATTAGCGTTAATAATGTCGAGATATTGTATGGAGAAAGACATGACCAATTGCATATTTAACTAATTCGACCAATTAATTACGATTGGTTAATTGTTTTACCGTTCGAAATCTTGGAGCAATTTCTAGTATTGTGGATACAAGACTTTAAATAAGGATAGAACAAGCAAATAACTAATAACACGCTCCTCAAACGCAGTTATTTAGGCGCGTTCAGCAGACAATTAATAAACAATTAATTTTTAACTCTTTAATTAATTACTTTATTTTTAAAAATAACAATTTAATAACATTGAACATTTTAATAAATACAATAAAAATTATAAATTTATTAATTACAAATTTTTTTTCAAAAATTTTGATGTTGAAGATTTGTTCTGCCCCTGAAAAATAAAATAACATATAAATCTTTTATTATTTATTGTTTATTATTATATATTATTATATATTGTTATTATTTATTATTATTATTTATTATTTATTATTTATTATTATTATTATTTATTATTATTATTATTTATTATTTATTATTTATTATTTATTATTTATTATTTCACGCTTCTGATATCATCAAATAAAACAAGGATATAAGTAGCCAGTAGACAGAAACATCAATATTTTTTAGAATTATACCTGCTGTAATAAATTATCATCCAGTTTTCTTTTCTTAGGGGTTTGTATCCCCTTTACCAATTGTCCTAAAGACATACGTCCTTCCAATTTTTTAATATCCTCAATACATGTTATTATTAAATATGGAGGATCAGCTGTAAAAATTTAAATAATAATAATACTTAAAAAAGACTTAAGGACAAACGTAGGATGTCCGATAATAAATGTAGCAATATCTGTTTAATGTAAAATAGTCTTAGATTGAATAAAAGAGTTTTCTACCTTTTTATAATCATTTTAGTAGTTAATAAGTCTATTATCAGACAATCTGATAATCAGACTTATTATACAATAATAATACCTGTATTTTGTACATTTCCAACAACTTGTATTTTATCTCCTCTTTTAAATTTTTTTTGTAAATATTTGTTTAAATCAAAATTTAAAATGTGTATTTCAATTTTATACGTTCCATCTGTGATAGCTCCACAACCAATTTTTTTATTAAGTTTATTATTATATACCGCGCCAAAATTGCTTTTTAGAAATCCCTTTAATACTGGAAAACATTAAAACAATTAAATATTTGAGTTATTGATTAAAGAAAGTTTAACACAAGCATATTTACTCGTATATAAATACACAAAAGTATCAAAACCATTTTAAAACTGATAATCACACGATCAATGGCACAATTAATAACAAGTACTTTATATATATATATATATATAATACATATAGTTTAATTGAATCTTTGAAATATTCATCAATAGAACTTACTGACACGTTCAGAAGTATTTAAAATATCTTTAAATTCAATTTCTTGAGGATTATTATTAACTATATTGGAAGGATTATACTTTCCCAATATTGTTAAAACAGTATTGCCTCTAACGTGTAATTCAAATGGAACATTTCCATTATTATACATTGCTACTTTAGGGGTTCTTGCTTGTACTCCGTCTAAATCTACAATCTAATTATAAGTAAACTGTTAAGTTAAGTTTACATGTTTTTGTTAAGTTTATATTTTGTTTTTAATGTTAAATTAACTTTTTGGAAAAAGAAATGTAATAAATTATAAAATTTTTTATCATTTAATTGTTTAAAAAACATTAGCTAGAATTTAATTTCAATATATAATAGTAATTAATAAATAAAAACTTATTTTTAACCTTAAAAATTAATGACACTTACAATATTAGTTGTTATCTGTTCTTCAATACGCTCTATCTCATTGTTCCATGCAACTACTTGAATTCTTCTTCCATTACCGTTATTGATATAAAATTTAAAAAATTTGTATTGTTTTTGATCACCTACAGATCGAGGAGCCTCTATGCCGTCAATATATCCTATTACTTCACTATAATATCAATTAAATAACAAATTATTAGATATTTATATTATAATAAATTAATTTATTATTAATTTATATTTGTTGAATAAACTCATATCTATACTATTATTATAAAGAGACAGAGTTAAGCCGTCGTACACAAATTAACTTATATATAAAGTATATATTTAATATAAACGGGTTAAGGGGAGGTTACACCTCAGAGGCCCAAAAAATGCCTCAATTTCAGGAATTTTTTTTTTATATAAAATAAATACATATGGAAAAAACTTTTCGGGGCTTTAATTCGTACATAAATAGAGATTAATTAAAAAATTTTTCAGAAGAAAATAATTAAAAATGGCGGCTCCAGCTCTCAGTCCACGAAGCCACACACGGCGTGGTTCTATGTGCGCGGGGCATTCCACAGCCTTGCCAGTTGATCTGAAACCAAAAAACCAAAAAAATTCTTAAAATAGATTAAATTTGGGGGGCCTTATGATTTTCCGATTTTTAAAAAACCCCCTTATAACAAAATGGTGGCCGTTTGAAAAAAAAACCTCTTTTTTCCCTGTTTTTCTTTTGCTTCAACGTTCGAAAAAAATTATTTGCAATCAATTTTTTGAAAAAAACGCTTCCTGAAGGCCCCCTAAATTAAATTTCCTTTCTTTTGCGCCGTCATTCATTGAAATCGGTTCATCCGTTAAAGCTGTAGAGCGCCCCGCGCGCCGAAAAATGCTGTTTCGAGAAAAACGCGTTTAAAGTTTTACGTAGTAAAAAATCGTATTTAATGTTTGTTTTTGACAACTTACATCTAATCAGCCATTCCAGCACCATTCCTTGCCACCTATTGTAGATTCACCCATCAGATATAGAAAAAAAGTCTCCTCGCAAGACCGCTCCGAGGGCGCCGTCTATACCTGTTTTCCAGCCGACGGACCGTTCCGCCCGACAAGCTGTAACTCTTAAAATACTTTCGATATGAAAATATCCTTTTGCCCACGTATTCTTAACAACTTAAGGATGAAAATTAAGCAAAAAAAAAAAATTCGATTTTTTCATCGTTATGAAGTGTAACCTCCCCTTAAGTCACGAAAACCTCAATATTCTTTATTGTACTAATTTATTTTTTAATTATTATTAAAATAAAATAAAAAGTTACATGGATGATTACTTACACTGTTGAATCAAACATTTTTATTGTGTCAATGGCTTCATTAGGTGTTAGTAACGTTATTGCATCAACATCTTCTTCTATTTTGTCATTATTTTTTTCTTTAATATTAACTTTTGCAATATCTAAATCTGAATCGTCGTAATCATCTAATTCCGACTCGGAACCAATATTTTTATTCTCTGACATTCTGTATAAACAATAAAAATATAAGAAATATTTTCAGCATAATATAATCTACTTTACATTTAAAAATATACTTTTCAAACATATTTATCTCAAACCATGTTTAATATCACAAATCATATATATATATATATACAGGGTGTCCGTAAATCGTGGGGACTTTTCTCGTATTTAGATAGAACGAGCCAAACTGAGTCGAAAAGTCTTGTACCATTTTGCAATTTTCTCAATAGTTTATGAGTTATTAATAATTAAAAATCGCCGTATTGGCCCGGCCCATCGCCAAATCCAAGCGCGCCGTGAGATACGACCGCCCCGCGGTCCGCGCGCGGGCAGTTGTTTACAACAAGCGGCGGCGATCACGCACGAGCGGCGCGTAACGCCGGGCCCCCGTTCTAAGCGATGATAGTAAAATTTTCTAACGACATAGAAAATTTTTTTGTGCGCACGTATGTACATACGTGTGTACATGCATACACAAGAAAATATCAATTCTACTGCTTAAAAAAGCGATTACTCAATTTACTTTTTTCTTTTAATAAGTAACGGTTGTCTTTAAGAAAGAATATTTTCTTGATAATAGTTATAAAATGTACAAATTTTAGAAAGAGTCTTTATCATGTACTCGAAAGAAGAATTTATACTCCTTCAAGAAGCATAATAAAATTCTATCAAAGAAAGTTAAAAAAAATAAATAACGTAATATGAGGAACCTCGAGATTAAAATAGGAGAAGTCAAAACTATGAGGGTCAGACGCAGATCACAGTGCGTAATATCAGAAATAACTGATTTATTCGTCATTTTGATACATTACATCGATCCGTACGTTTCGGTTCAGTTTTGAGCCATCTTCAGCGGTAGTTACAGAAATTGAGTTACACGTTCTCCGTACCATATGGCGAATTTACTGATTCAAAGTATTAGAAACATAGGCCAATAGATCCATATCCGCAAATTTGTTCAATTAATGTCGAGATATTAAAAAGATTCTTTAGGAAACTCACCATTCGGTCTGAAAAACGTGGAATACAGAGCCATGTACATAATGAAT